TCCAATTTACACCTGATGCAAAGCTGGGCCCCTTGTTTTCCGAAATGAGTACCCTTCAATCCTCGTCATCACTCATAATCATCATGCTATCCTCTTCGACCTCGCTGACTCTCTGCTTTCCTTTGTCTTTTCTCCTTGGCTTCCTTCCCACAGGCCCATGCCTCCTTGCCGCCAGGACCTTGTCGAACTCTCTATCTACCTCATCCTCTGCCTCCATCGCACCACCCCATCCCTGTACGCTAGCGTTCTCCTCCAGCGCCCTGCTTAGCAGATCGGTAGCGATCGGGTCCTGCGGCCCCACAGCTAAAGCCTCATGTAGCGCACACACCGCTTCCCAGCTCCTTTCCATCTCTAGCAGCACGAGACCCTTGGCGCAGAAGATGCCTGCATCCCGACCGCCCTGGCGTAAGACCTCTTCGAACTCTTGCAATGCTAGAGCCCACTCTCGTTGCCGGCGGTACGCGTGGCCAAGGTTTGCGCGGGTAGCGATCCACGCCCTAGGATCACTATCTATGTCGGCTGCAATGGTGAGAGCACTGTTGAAGATGTTGATGGCTTCGGAGAGGTGGTCAAGATGGTAGAAGACCACGCCAAGCTCATTGAGAAGCAAAGGATCAGTGCTGCACAGGGCGTGAGCGGCGTTGAGGTATTCGTGGGCGAGAGTCATGTTGTTGAGCTGTAGATTCTGCATGCCAAGGAAAAGCTGTGGGAGATGAGTCCCCTGGAATAAGCGCGCAGCGGTACTGTATGCGGAAATGGCTTGGTCATGTTCACCTTCTGCAGCGAAGGTGTGCGCGAACCCAATCCAGGCAGGACCGAAGTGTGGATCCATCATTGAGGCTTTAGAGAAGAAGCGCCGCGCTTCTGCTATTTGGGATATGCTGAGATAGTAAACACCGACTGCTAGCCAGGTGGCGGGCTCGTCAGGATGGAGGTCGGCGAGGCGATGGGAGATTAGGAAGAGCGTATTCGTCTGGGCGAGCTCGTGTAGGCAAGCTAGGTGGAGAGGGTAGATGGAGAAGTTGTATTCGTCGGTTTCCAGGATAGAGGTTGTGAGGGCGAGTGCTTGTTTGAAGCGGCATTGTGTGAAGAAGAGCTCAGCTTTGGAAAGGAGGAGGTCTGGATTTGTGGCGAGGTTATAATGGGTAGAAAGGGTCTCGGATGCGTGGTTGAATTCCGTAGGGTTCTTGTATTTCGAGAGGCGGGTGGTGTAGAGCATCTTGGCGAACTGAGCGACTTCTTGAGATGTAGAACTGTCTTCTCCAGAGATTGAGTCAAAGTCTAGGGAATCCAGAAAGGTCCATTCTTCATCTGGTGACATGAGAGAGTTCTTCATGAGCTGATCGAATGCTTCGAAGCATTGTACATCTATTCGTACAGCGTCCTTGTAGCACTCTTTCGCGCGATCGAAGGCGCTTTGCTTCGCGAAACATAATCCCCGTAGATAGCACATGCCTGCTTCGTACTTGATGTTGGATGTATTCTCCCGATCCCTCTCCTCGCTCTTTTCTATCCTCTCAGGTCTCCCTGTTGCTTTCCCATGCTTACTTCCTGGCCGTAGTGTCCCATTCGTATGGTGTAATTTCCGCCGTGTCTTACTCGGTGATATAATAAGATGGCTTGGATTTCTGTCTCCTAGTATTGAGAGAGCTTCCTCGTATTTCCCTTGCTTGATCTGACAATGAGCGGCCAAGTACCGGCATGCTGAGTTGTGTTCCACGAGATCATGCTTGTCTAAGAAACTTTGCGCGCGGGTATAATTGCCGGTTGAGAAATGGACTTGGGCAAGGAAGAAGGCGTCGTTAGGATCATCTGGCAAAGATGAGTTCTCTGCTCTTGCGGATGGGTTGACTTGCTTACTGGTAATGGCGAGTAGCTTATCCCCTATGTAGATAGCAGACTCATATTGGTGCTTGTGCATGGCATCCTGCCGCCAGTCTTTGAGCAGCTGCTGCATTTTTGTCAAAAGGTGTGCGTTTCGTACGGCTACTGGGCACTGGCATAGATTCAATGTTTACTGATTACTGCACCGCGTTTAGCGCGTCTACAAGACGCCTCTATCGATAACACTGCTTCAGAGCATTGACTCCTTTCGAATGAAAAACCTCTTAACAACGTCAAGGGGGATAAACGAGCTGCTACTCAAATCTACGGTCGAGATATCTACTGTCGTCGTAGTTTGAAGAGAAGAGAACCTTTACGAAAGGCGTGTAGTCTCGATCTAGAGCTACAACACTAAGACCTGCATTGCCGAGCAAATGGCGACAGTGATAGGGTCGAAAGACTGGTTGCTGTGAGCACCGCAGTTCCCTGGCGGTGTCTTGGGTACGGGTTATAACAGCTTTTGCTTGACGAAGCAACTCCGCTGTGAACGGCCAGTGTGAAAGGGACTCGCGGAGGTTTTCTCTGTCTTTTGTTGGTTCAAGAATTTGCGTTACATCGAGAGATATGCTTTGTCATTATTGCTTCCTGCTATCGACTAACATATTAGTGCTATATTGGGCTCCCAAACCTAGAGTCACCGCGCCTGCAATTCCAGCAACGCCAAATGATGATTCATTCCATACCCTTCGCGCGCCGAGTGCCACCTAATCTGCTCAGCAGCAAACCCGAACTCCCCCTACATGCTGTCGATGCATCTGCGTCGGCGTATGCTCATGCAACTCAAACTCCGTAAAATGCAAACAATGTGGCCTTGCTGTGTCAGATGATGCACTCTACTTAGGGACTAGCCGAATGGTTCATAGACTTGCACCAAGGACCGAGAGAGGAAAATCCGGCCCGGATGCTCGGCGACGACCTCTTCTAGAGTGGCTCAAAGGAGGCTGTCGAGCCCTCGTCTTGGCGCTTCTTCATGATATTGTTGATGTCGAGGTCGCGCTTCTCCAGGAGATTGGTCGCGCTTCTGCCCAGAATTGCCTCGCCAGATCCACTGTCCACAGCTTCAATATCAGTAGCGAGGTCCTTTTTGTCGTTAACGACGTTGCGCTCCTTGAGGGTCTTCGTACGCCGAGTCGAACTCGAATCAGTCAAGTCGGTGCAGGATTGCAACAGACTAGTGAATGTGGCAGGGTTCTCGCCCTTCAGCGCTTTCAAGGTCGCGCAGAGGAGACTGTCGAAACCATCATCCGCACCACTCGCACGCTCTTCCAATGCGTCGGCAGCACTTCCGGCTAAGACTTCGAGGACGGGCTTATATGTCTCTACGGGAGCGTATGCAGGTTGACGTTTTTCGAAGGATGCGATCACAGCAGTTGGAGTTGGTGATGTGATCGGTACTGCCATTGCATTTTGACCGTTTTCGGGAACTGATGATGTTAGCTTTAGGTGAATGTAGAGTGTGGAAGAGGAAAATGCCTCGCTTACCGGGCAATGATGTTGGCCAATTGACGGCTGAAAGGGGAATCAGAGTCAGAGGGAGATACATGTTTGCAGGATACAGAATGGGTGGATAGATGTGAGACAATGATAGAGTAGTCGGACGGCAAGTTAGGCAATTGTGTCAACTTAGGCACTTCGGCCGATGAAATTGTCGCGATACTTCAAATTATGCTGATGAATTTTATATGTCAAGTCTGATCTACGGTATTTCTGATCCTATTTGTACCTCTCGTCCCCCAGACTTCCTCGCAAACGGCACCCAGCCAAATGCAAGGTGGCGTATAGAATCTTTCGAAGTGACATGGAGATCAAAGCTCACTGATGGCTGCGAGGGTTGGTGGCGCTTTGCGGGCGTACGTTTACCCCTGGATGCAGTCGCATCGCAGGACGCTCCATTGTCTCTGCAAACCGCCCAAATATCGACGGATACGGAACGCTTAGGGTGCTTTTAGAGAAAGGGGGCGCCATAGGGTTCTTGCAGGACATAGGAGAATGAGCCTAGTCTTTCAGGAGGCATCTCCTGCACGGGATCTAGAACGCGTAAGGTTTTTTTGACAGTTGTCTGTGCTGCGCAACATAAGTCTAGAACAAGGTAATCAGCCTTTTCAACTGACAATGAGGTTCGCAAACAGCGCGTGAAGCTTAGCCTTCGATCTGAAGAGGTGTCATGGAGTCTACTGAGGTCGAGGGTTAGATAGAACGGAGTTCCCTCCGCTAGTCTAGTATAATGAATCAGGAATGTAAACGACGTGGCAACTTTGGCAATTTTACACGATCGCACAAATGGGAGTTTCAGCCTAGTCTCAGCGTGTGGAATATAATCTGACTGAGAGATCTCGACATGACAGAACTTTGACCGGGTGGCGTGCCTGCCCTCAGATACTTTGGATGCTTCATGAGCTTTCTGAGAATCTCCTGAATCGTAGATTGCTAGCGCTTGCTCCAGAAGGAGGTTGTTGACCCCAGACACGAGAATTCTGGCCATGAAAACATTAACCCACATCCATGGCACTCTCCACCCATCCCTTCAATCGGGTTGATTTTAAACCGGTCCAGTCAGTCTGGAGAATAGAAAATGCACTGGTAAGGGGGCTTCGAAAAGAAGCCAATGGCATCACGCCAAGACTAAACAGCGAGTTCGTTGTCTCTGTCATCGAAGCCCCCCTAAAGATTGAGGTCGCCTACTCTCATGGTAATTGCCTTGACCGGTGAGTTTGGTTAGAGGAAATGGTGACGGACCCTAATTTCACGACAGAGAGCGGGAATTGGAGCCAATGATCTAACACATGGAAGCTCCTCGCAGGTAAGACCGCGCTCTCTTCGAATACTGCACCCAAGGAATTTGGGATTCAAGGAGAACCTGGACGAAACGCTGAACCTATTGCGAGACAACCGCTTCATTGTCCTGGTCCGCCAATACGAAGTACTGGAGGTCGCGCGACGTACTGCTCATACAGCTGTCTTTCGCTGGTAGCTCGTTTGCTTGCGGCCGTGACTCGTTTTGCTGTTTGTTATTTCATCTTTCTCAAAACCCATTAGCAGCATGCCACATTTCACCTTTTTGGTCTAGGTCCTGGGCGCCACCAACATCCATTCTTTCACCAGTCGTCTCCTTCCGCTCAGCCTCGGAATCGAGGCGCAAACTGCGAGACAGCTTCAGTAATCCTCGGATCTATCAGGCCGTCGTCAAGCACCGCTGGCATCGCTATCTCTTCATCTTGGTCTCGCTCATCATCATAGCCGTCGTTCCCTCTTGTGCCGTCTTGGTTGGCTGAGTAATGCATTTGAGCAGTGGTACGGATCACACTTGCTAAATGAGTCTCCTCTGGCGTTGCATTCGGGCTTAGATACGTTGCGGCTCTGTTATTGTTTCTCATAATCTCGGGCATCTCATCTGCGACTTTGGCGAAGGCGGCGTCATTCGAGGGCACACCGTCTAGGATAGCAGCAATTTTGGCTTTCATGATAATTTTGGCTTTTGCCCAGGTGCCGTTATGGTACCAGCCATCCCTTTCAATCTGGAACTGGGTCAGCGCCAAATAGCACGTGAATTCGCAATGCTTACGTGACACTCTTTACGAAGATTATTGGTGGACAAGAGGCTTTTCAGAAACGGCTCTGAGATGTCGCAAACTTGCCATATCTTCCCGTCCTTGCTGACGGTCACGCCATCGAAAAGATGGCTCTCTTTCCTCGACACTTGTTCGGTCTTCGTTCGGTCAGGTCTAGTCCGATTGAATCTTGCTCGACTGTCTTTACGCTCGTTTTCTAGCAAGAAGATCATAGTTTGATAGATCCTAAAGCTGGGATCTGTGCGTGGGTCTACGCCATATCTAACAAGAGCATCGCGCCAAGGGCCAGACGAGAACATGTATCCCGCGTACTGGTAGACGTATTTGGCAGCATTGTGACCCAATATATCCCAGTCATTGCCTGGCATACAGTTGTAAAGTGCTCTTCGGGTGAAAATAGGCCTGTCCTGCATTATACTAAGCGCTTTGTTGACCAACCGCTGCATTGCGGGCGTCAGAGTCTCGATAGCAGGAAGATCTGGTGAAGGACCCTGTGGGACGACATTGACATCAAAAGGCACAGGAGGATTCGTAATCTTTGGACCAGCTTGCACATTGATGGTGCTGACGTTACCCAGATGATCAACGACTCGCTTTACACAAGGATTCTGGCGATAACTGGCAATTGTTAGCCTTGACCATTCGTAAAAAACTTCGAATGACGTACGAGTAATTGAAAGGAAGAGTGAAATGAGTCCAGGATGGGGGCGGAATGATCTCAGTATTTGGCTTGACACCTTTGCTCATATCGAATTTGAAGCCTTTCATTTTCTCATCTGACAGTAATCAATGGATGCGGTTTTCTTGAATGGAGAACCTTACAGTCGATTGGTAATATATGTTCTCGGAATTTCTTTGTGAGCGGCATGTTCTCGGTCGAGGTGACGAAGTCCGGCATGCCTAATGGTATCAGCGCACTCAAATCCACCCTCAGGAAACAATGTTTCCATACCTCGGAAGCGATGAGTCTGGTGGACAGTACCAATTGCTTCGACCTGATAGCTCTTGGGATTGTCGTGCATTGAGCGGAAAAGGTATTGAGCGTCCATGACCATAGGCGCCCCTCGCTCTCCGAGCATTTCTATTTCGACGCCTTCATGATACGGACCCCCTGCACCGCGCCTACGCTTTAGGCCAGTTCTCTTCGGCACCGTCACCTTCAGAAGGATATTATTCGTGCTGACATTGGCCGACTTCAAGGGTTTGGACATGCGATCTCCCGGCTTCAGATACAGATTGGCGGTAGCGTCATCTTCTTGGACCAGCTAAGAAACATCAGATGTGGATGCCTGTTGAGATAAAGGCGGCTTACCTCTTCCAACTTGCTGGGACTTCCGAGGGTTGCTAGTCCTTTGTCGACATCCTTGATGATGAACGGATGCTCAACACTCACAATGGGTTGGTTGGGAACGGTGTACCATGGGGCATAAGAAGGTTTTTTGTGACAGCTAGACACCGTGCTTTTGTCGCCACTGACTTTCTCCATCCCTGCCTCTCCAATAATAAGATTTAACGATCAAGGTCGTGAAGATACTGGGAATGACAAGCTTCAGGCCACAGCATCGGGTTGGACTGGAGCACGTCCCTGGTGGGGAGACTGAAGCACGATCAAAGTGCAAAGTAGAAAAACTTTGAGGGAGACAAGGGCATGAGAGCGCTTCCGTCGTTTATAATGAGAAGGTTGAAAAGAGATTCAGGTGTTGCTGCGAACTCCAATACATATGGCCAATCTTTTCCCATCTACAAGGCAAGTTTCGCATCATCTAGGACATTCATAGCAATATCTGGTATATGCCTCTGCGCTTCAGGCGACAAAATAAGGTAGCGTTCCTTTAGCATGATAAAGTAAGTACCCTCGCCGTCCACATGTGACTGGTTGTGCGCGCCAAGAGATTCGAACGGCCCCGCAACCTCTAACTTGATTTGGCGCTAGTGCGGAAGCCCGCTCTTGCACTCGCCTCTGTGCTATTATCGACGACGAGACAACAGACAAGCATTGAACCAGTCTATCATTGCACTGACCTTGTTACACTGCTCTTGCAACCTTTGATATCTAACGTGAAGCTTTCTCTGCGACTGGCGTCTGGCGTTGAGCCGCATGTTGAGCCGCAATTTACTGCATACGGCTCTAGCCACGAGGACCATCAACAATCCGGAGACCCTTCTGATATCCGCTTTCTAGCGAAAAGCATGGCTCCTCAGAGAATCTGACGAATTTCCTACACTCGCCTGAAGACGCCTCTGGATCTCCTCGACCAAGGCTCTCACCGGACGACAGCGAACGGCTACCTGCTGGGTTTTCGGCGTGGGAACATTTGCACCGTGTCCAGGGGCGCCGAGGTCTCTGAGAAGGAGCCCGAGCTAGGGGTACACACTATCTTCGAGTGAAGCAAGATGAAAGGTTTCAAACAGCGAGTGGTACGCGCCCCGCCTATTTTGTCTCGCAACTTGCTGCCTTTCGCGCTGGTGATTGCTACGTTCATGAATTAGCTGACTTACTCAGCATGAACAGCTTTCGCGAGCCAGAGATTCCAACAGCAAGTCAAAGAACAAGAAAGACTCCGCATCTGGCGGTTCTTCCCCAGCACCAAGCTCCAGCTCCACGTTGGTCGCTCCAGGCAATACCCACTCGCCCAGCAATTCCAATCAGGGTACGCCAACTTCGTCGACAACAACTGTGAATGACACAAGAAACAAGCCACTACCTCCTGGGGAAAATGGTACGTCACGAGGTGGTTCCAGCAACCCTATGCATGCATCCCCTGCGGGTACACCCAATGCAGCGCCTTCTGGCGGCCCCTTCATGCCTTCACAGTCTGGCGTGGGCGGTCAAGGCGGCTCAGGAGCGCCAGGTACACCGACGAGATCTGGACATGGCGTGGCTCCCAATGTGGTCATAAGCCCAAGCTCAGGAAGTGCGCCGGTACGTCTGCGTGCTGGCTTTTTCAATGAACCTGCTAGAATTGATCTTCTCTTCTGTTCCTCAAAAGATTTAAGTGCTCTTTGGACTGACATTTTTTTCAGCATATCCCCCCTCCCGGTGCTGCAGAGACTATGCCTGGAGACCTTGCTCCGCCGGGAAGAGGACAGAAGTCGGGTGCTTTCGACAGGCTGACCACTACTCCGAAAGATGTTCCAGAAGGCATCAGAACGCCAAAGCGGCAACATTCGTCACGATTCGACATATCAGATCAGAGGCAGCGTGAGCTGGAGAAGCTACCAGGGTTCCATGAAGTACCTCCCAATCGGCGGCAAGAGCTTTTTATGCAGAAGATCGACCAGTGCAACATCATCTTCGACTTCAACGACGCCAGTGGTGATATGAAGTCAAAAGAGATCAAGCGGCTGGCGCTGCATGAGCTTTTGGATTATGTTGCGAACAACAGACAAGTCATCACAGAGCCGATGTACCCGAGAGTAGTTGATATGTTCAGCAAGAATCTTTTCCGACCAATACCGCCGCCGATCAATCCACAAGGCGAAGCATTTGACCCTGAGGAGGACGAACCAGTACTAGAAGTGGCGTGGCCTCATATACAGGTGGTGTATGAGTTCTTTCTTCGATTCATCGAAAGCCAGGATTTCAACACGAACATTGCAAAAGGTTTCATAGACCATCAATTTGTGCTTCAGGTACGGCGTTCTTTAACAGAGCATGGAATTTCATTAACATCATTTAGCTTCTCGAACTCTTTGACTCAGAAGACCCGAGAGAACGAGACTTCCTCAAGACTACCCTACATCGGATTTACGGAAAATTCTTGAACCTGCGCTCATACATTCGACGGTCAATAAATAACGTTTTCTTCCAATTCATATACGAGACGGAAAGATTCAACGGCATTGCGGAACTTTTGGAGATTCTTGGTTCGATCATCAACGGTTTCGCACTTCCTCTCAAAGAAGAGCACAAGCTGTTCCTCACGAGGGTGTTGATACCTCTACACAAAGTCAAGAGCTTGAGCATGTACCATCCGCAACTGGCATATTGCATCGTGCAATTTCTGGAGAAGGACGCTGCTTTGACTGAAGAGGTACGCCTTGAACTCTCTAAGATGGACTAGATCCCGGTTGACTGTTGAATAGGTCGTTTTGGGGCTGCTAAGATACTGGCCAAAGGTAAACAGTACTAAAGAGGTTATGTTCCTCAACGAAGTGGAAGATATTTTCGAGGTCATGGATCCCGCAGAGTTTGCCAAGGTTCAAGAGCCTCTGTTCAATCAGCTCGCGAAGTCTGTCGCCAGCCCACATTTCCAGGTAGGCAACGCCAGTTTTGTACCTTGGGCATTAAGCTCATCAAGTGCAACAGGTTGCGGAGCGAGCGCTATACTTCTGGAACAACGAATACTTCTGCAACCTCATCAGCGACAACGTCGAAGTCATCCTGCCAATTATGTTTCAGCCACTCTATGAGAACTCGAAAGGCCATTGGAATAGGTACGTTCTGCCACCTATCATTAGAATGCGCAAGCTGACCTAGGCAGAACAATACATGGCATGGTCTATAACGCAATGAAGCTCTTCATGGAGATCAACCCGCAGCTCTTCGACGAGTGCTCCGAACATTACCGCGAACACGAGGCTACCGCCGAGAAGACTCTGCGGACTCGAACAGCCAACTGGGCGCTGATAGCTGATTGGGCAAAGCAGAACTCAAAGGGTGGAAACGTAGCCATACCCCCTTTGACCGATCTACGGGGGCAGAAATTCAACCCTCCGAGCAGGATCGATGAAGATCCAATAACGCAAGACAGTCAGAAGAGGCTTGATGCCCTGAGGCTGCAAGACGAGAGCGGCGTTTCGAGGGATGGAAGAAGGCAGAGAGGGCTTGATGGACAGTATCAGGTAAATTCTTAGGCGATACACTCCAAATTGCCATGATTTAACTGACACGTCCCATTCTCGTTAGCCCATGGAAGACCCAGCAACACAAATCCGCCAACGCCTCGAGCGCAACGGGTCAAGTGGAGCAGTCATGCCGCCTCCTCCAACTACGAGACAAGATATGCTCAACAATGTCCCGCGCGCAGGATGATACTCCCTGGGGAAAAAGATGTCAAGCAAAAGCGATTGAACTATTCGTGTTCATAAGATTCACGTCTCGGACATGCATGTGCTGAGACTTGTTATGCCCCCAGGAATGAATTTACAGCCTCGGGAGCTGAAATGGAGTGAGTATAGAAGCGAGTCGGCGTGGGGTTCATCTTCTCTTGTTTCGATAGTTCCACAACTTCTCTCTCTTGGCCACGGGCGAAAGCAGGGCCTTCCCAGCCTGGTGGACAGGCACGCATAGAATTTGAATATCATGGTTTCATTGCCATCCATACCTCCACTATCAAATGAAGCCATCCCCCAGCGCCTTGCTAACATGACAGCACGCTGGTACCCGATCTTCTGCCAGACTTGATGTATTCACATCTTCTCAGACCAGAGCAGGCTTCTTCTTAATCCCCAACGCTGCCGAAAAATCCTTTTTCTTCTTAACCACCCTTTTGAACTCGGGCGGCGGCATACTCCCCACGGTCGCCCCCTTCGCGGCCGGGACCTCGCTGACACCACCATCTGCCATCATCCCATCCCCAGCCATATCCGTTCCCTCCCCGACTCCCCCCTCAACACCCTCATCAATCTCGATCCCCCTGCCAAAAGCCCTCCTAGCGGCCTCCTCATCCTCCGCTTCCACTCTCCTCTTCTCCAACTCCAACTCCGCTCTCGCCCTCTCAGCCTGTTCCAACGCCTTATCCACCTCCCCCTTCCCCTCCGCTCTCTGAATCCTCGCATTCCGCGTCCTGATCTCATCCAACGCATCCGCAATCTCCATCTCGCGCTTCGCGTCCACCACTTTCCCCTCCAACACCTCCATCGCGCCCCTCTCCGCCTCCTCCGCCTCCAGCCTATCCAGTCTCTCTTCATCCGTCTCCAACTTATGATCATCGTCCTCCCCGTCGGCTTTTCTCCAAACCTCGAAATTACGTTTGGCGCCCCGCTCGCACGTATAGTCCATGCCCTTCGGATCCGTCTTGAATGTGATTTCCGCTAGTTCCCGTTAGCCAAGATTCCGCAGCTGGCCGTCAGGAGCGAGGCCACTTACCACTGCACCTCGTGCATCTGATATAGAAGCGGTAAATGGGGATGTTGAGATACTTTTCATCCGTCGTTTCTTTCCGAGAGTTGAACTTCCGTCCTTTGTAGATGTATTCGCCACACGAGATACCTAAATGGTGGTAAGCTCTTTGGCCAGCGATACCTGGTGGAGGAAGGAAGACGCACATTTCATGGAAAAGGGCGCCATGAGGCGAACGGTCATTACCTTCGGGCCGGCATTCTTGGGAACGCGGGATCTGGCGATCTTGGAAGGATCGAAGTCCGGAGGATAGTACTTTTGGAGGACTTTGCGTTCAGACATGGTGGGGGGTGGTTATGGGATCGAGTAGTAAGAGGACGTTTGGTGTTTGGTGATTACTTTAGTAGCTGGGGGCAGCTGTT